CGTAATTTATCAAACTAAGAAACAAATTATAGTACAATTTCCTTTCAGGTTTTTTTTCTAAAAGATTTTATTTATTTATTTGACAGAGAGAGAGAGAGAGATCACAAGTAGGCAGAGAGGCAGGCAGAGAGAGAGGGGGAAGCAGGTTTGCTGCTGATCAGAGGGCCAGATGAGGGGCTTGATCCCAGGACTCTGAGATCTTGACCTGAGCTGAAGGCAGAGGCTTAACCCACTGAGCCACCCAGGAGCCCCATTCCTCTCAGGTTTTTAAAAAATACTGAAATAACCTGCAGGCCTCCCATGTTATCCTGGGGCCTCCCAGGAGCATGGAGCCCTGGTAGCTGGGAGCCACACACCAAAATCTTCTCTGGCATTCCTGGATCCTAGGGTCTCATGATGGCTGCCAGGCCCTACGCACCACAGCTCACACTTCCGTAGAGGGCAGGATCTGCTCCCCGTAGCTGGAGGGCTCCAGGAGTGCACAGCCAGCCACGGAGAAAACACTAGGGGTCAGATTCCCAGAAGAGTTAGAGTTCCTTTTGGCTTAATCAAGACACAGCTTGACTTTTTCCTCATTCTTGGCCCCAGTCTTTAGGAATGTCAGGTCCTCTCTGGGAGGCGCAGATTTAGTCCAGGACACAGGTCTTGTCTGCATGCTGTCCTGGACCCTGGCCGTCACCAAACTGTGATCTTCATAGGCCCATCTGAGGGTCACAAACAACAGAATGCTCACAGCCTCACTTGATAGCTCATTTTAGGCTGTTTCCAGATGGTTCTCAGTGCTTCTCTGGAGGCTTTTGCTGCTCAAAGTTCCTAGCCATAATAAAATTATGTGTCAGAAAAGCCATTTGCAGGGATGTCTGGGTGGCTCAGGCAGTTAAGTGTCTGACTCTTGTTTTCGGCTCAGGTCCTGATCTCAGGATCCTGGGATCGAGCCCCACATCAGGCTCTCTGCTCAGCAGGGAGCCTGCTTCCTCCTCTCTCTCTCTCTGCCTGACTCTCTGCCTACTTGTGATCTCTGTCAAATAAATAAATAAAATATTTTTTAAAGGATTTTATTTATTTATTTATTTATTTATTTATTTGTGTGAGAGAGAGAGAAAGAGATAGCACAAACAGGGGGAGTGGCAGGCAGAGGGAGAAGCAGGCTCCCCACTGAGCAAGGAGCCCAATACGGGGCTCGATCCCAAGACCGCGAGATCATGACGTGAACCAAAATCAAGAGTCAGATGCTTATTAACCGATGGGACCACCCAGGCGCCCCATAAATAAAAAAAAATTTTTTTAAGCCATTTGTATCCACAGATGAGTGTTTGAGCTGGCTTTCTCAAATGTCTCTCCCCCACACTCCAGGACTCTTTTTTTTTTTTTTTTTTTTAAAGATTATTTATTTATTTATTTATTTGATAGAGAGCACAGGTAGTCAGAGAGGCAGGCAGAGAGAGAGGAGGAAGCAGGCTCCCTGCTGAGCAGAGAGCCCGATGCAGGGCTCGATCCCAGGACCCTGGGATCATGACCTGAGCCGAAGGCAGAGGCCTCAACCCACTGAGCCACCCAGGCGCCCCACACACTCCAGGACTCTTAACAGTAGAGGGGAGAGTGAATGTGTACCCTTTTCCTTGAAAGTCTCTTGATCTGGCTTAAAATTCCATGTATTCCATTCCTTGCATTTCCTCTATAATAGATCTATGTTTGTTTAACTATATGACTAAGGTCAAATGACACTCGTGTTCTAGGAAGATGTACGCTCATGACTTCTGGTACGCATGATGGGTTCTGAGTATCTCAGTTTAAGAAACATGAATTTCTTTCTTTCTTTCTTTCTTTTCTTTTTTTTTTAAGAAACATGAATTTCTAATAAGGAGGATTATTTACCAATTCCATTCTCCCACCCTCCAAAGTAGGTGCTGGAAGGGCAGAATGAGCAGTGGTGAAGTCTTTCTAAGTTCTAAACTAAGCTAACATTTGTGTAAGCTTATGAGAAAGGGGTGACAGTCCTCACTGGACAGGAAAGGAAAGTGAAGCTTGGGAAGAACAGTTTCAGCAAAGTCATACAGTAAACGTCAGAACCGGGGTTTGAACTTAGGTCTCTCTGACTCTGAGGCCTGTCCTTGAGTCTTTTTTTTTTTTTTTAAGATTTTATTTATTTATTTGTCAGAAAGAGAAAGAGAGAGCACAGGCAGGCAGAGTGGTAGCAGAGGCAGAGGGAGAAGCAGGCTCCCTGCCGAGCAAGGAGCCTGATGTGGGACTCGATCGCAGGATGCTGGGATCATGACCTGAGCAGAAGGCAGCCGATTAACCACCTGAGCCAAACAGGCGTCCCTCTTTTTTCCTTTATTGAGACATAATTGACATGTGTCCTTCAGTCTTGCAAACCCCACAATCCCCAGTACTCCCTACTTCCACTGGGTCCCAGCGTGGATCAGCATCTCTAGCTTTGTTCTGTCCCAAACAGATTGTGTGAGTTTAATCTTTTTAAAATATTTATTTATTTATTTTTAGGGAGAGTGTACCTGAGCCAGGGGAGAAGCAGAGGGAGAGAGAGAGAGAATTCTAAGCAGACGCCCCACTGAGTTCAGAGCCCGATGTTGGGGGTGGGGGGTGGGCTCTATCTCACAACCCTGAGGCCTGAGCTGAAACGAACCGTCAGACGCTCAACCCCCGGAGCCACCCAAGTGTCCCCTGTGAGCTTAATTTTTTTTAAAGATTTATTTATTTGAGGGGGTGGGAGGGGCCAAGGGAGAGGGAGAGAGAAACTCAAACAGTCTCTGAGCTGAGTGGGGAGCCCCACGACCCCAAGATCAGACCTGAGCTGAAACCAAGAGTTGGACACACAACCAATTGTACCACTCAGGTGTCCCTGCATGAGTTTAGTTTTAAGCAGGTCTTTTTGGGCTTCTGTTTGCTCCTCTAAAATCAGAAATTAGACTTGGTGATGTCTTTCTCTCTTTCTCTCTTTTCTTTTTCTTTTTCTTTTTTTTAAAGTAGCCCCTCCTCCCTTTTAAAAGATTTTATTTATTTATTTGACAGAGAGAGACACAGGGAGAGAGGGAACACAAGCAGGGGGAGTGGGAGAGGGAAAAGCAGGCTTCCGGTCGAGTACAGAGCCCGATGCTGGGGCTTGATCCCAGGACCCTGGGATCATGACCTGAGCAGAAGACAGATGCTTAACGACTGAGCTACCCAGGCGCCCCAGACTTGGTGATCTCTAAGACCCTGGTAGATGGGAGCCTCTGTGCATGAACGTCCACATACCAACATTTATTAATGACAAGTAGTTCTGGGTGCTGTGGTATTCAGGCAAATAACCCACAGCTTCTGTTCTGAATGAGCCCCCCACCTCATCAAGGGGAGGGAAAGACAGTGGGACTGATCCATAAATCCATCTAGTCATGGCATTCAGTGCTAACTGACAACTGTGTCTGAGTAGAGTGTTGACAGAGCAGGGTATTGGGAGGGCTTCACTGGGGAGGTAATATTTGAGCTGAGCCTTAAAGGTTCAATTAGTTCAGTAGGCAGACAAGAAAGCATTCACGGTAGGGGAGTCACATGTGCAAAGGCATGGAGTAAGAAAATAGTATGCAGTGTTTGGGAAAGGCAGAGGTAGCTCAGAATGAAGGTGTGTGTGTGTGTGTGTGTGTGTGTGTGTGTGTGTGTGTGTGTAGGATAGTGTGGAGGTGGATTTGATCTTGATATTAAAACGTCATGGGGGAGCACGTGGGTGACTCCGTCAGTTAAGCGTCCGGCTCTCGTTTTTGGCTCCAGTGGTGATCTCAGGGTCGTGGCATTGAACCCTCTTGGGCTCTGAGCTTGGCAGAGGGGTCTACTTGGGATTCTCTCTCTCTCCTCCTCTCTCTCTCTGCCACTTGTGCATGAGAGAGCACGAGTGGGGGTGGAGGGGCAGAGGGAGAAGCAGACTCCTCACAAAGCAGAGAGTCCAACGGGGGCTTGACCCCAGGACCCTGAGATCGTGACCTGAGCCGAAGGCAGACGCTTAACCACGGAGCCACCCAGGTGGCCCAGCAAGTTTTTTAAAGGGTCATGGGGTGCCGGGGTGGTTCTGTCGGTTAAGCATCCGACTCGATCTTGGCTCAGGTCTTGATTGCAAAATTGTTCAAACTCACAATTGAGCCCCGAGTGGAGCCTACTTTAAAAAAGAGGTCTTGAATGGTAAGTTGAGTTTTATCTGAGGACTAGTGCTTTCTAAGCGGTTCTGAGGAGCAGCCCTAGGGAAGGGGGTTTCTCAGGCCTCCTGGGGGCTTCACAATGACATCTCCACTCTGTTTCAGGCAGAACAGCCCCACGTTTACTTGCTTTATCTATTAGGTTCTGCCTGATTTCCATCTGACAAAAAGTTTCCATTGCTTAAGCAAACAAACCAAAAAGTTATGGCCAATAGCAACACTGAAGGGTTTTCTGCTCATGAGAATCAGAACCCTCTAAAGGAGATTTGCTCTGGGAAAAGTTGGGGCCTAACCTCTGACATTAGGGAGCAGGACCCTCTTATTCAGCTTCCATGGCCAGGGAGGGGAGTTGTAATTAGGAGGTGGGGCACACACACCTCTTTGGTAGGGAAGGAACAAAATTTAGGGCTCCCCCAGGGCCTGGGGAAGTGTTGTATGATCTTTAGTAGGTAGTCCTCCAACATGGGGGATGGGAGGAAAGAGAGGGTTGGTGGAGAGGCAGGAAGTGGGCAACTAGGCTAACAAAGGTATCTGTGGCGGTTTGCCCATTCCAGGTGGGAGGGCGGGGCCCAGGGCTCAGTGGGGGCCCATGTGTGACTCTACTTGTGGCCAGGGGGTCTCAGAGTGAGCACCAGTAGGAATCCCCTCACCAGACCAGCTGGACCCATTTCAGCTTTTCTGTGGCTGGTGGATGGGGGATGGGGGCCTGACAATCTCAGGTACTTCTGGAAATTCCCAGGGCAAGGCCCTAGGATGTCTGATGTTGGGGAAGTAGATCTTGGAGGAGCCCCTTCAGCCCCCTCTCCATTGCCCCAGGGACCATGGGCTGTAGCTGCAGCTCAAACTCTGAAGAAGACTGGATGGAAAACATCGATGTATGTGAGAACTGCCATTACCCCATAGTCCCACTGGATGGCAAGGCCACGGTAAGAGGCAAGACAGGGGACTTGGTGAGGGAGTCGGGTGGAGTATACAAGCCAGGAGAAGGAAATGGACCACCACCGAAATAACAGAGTGGCCCTTTCCCCTTGGAAAACAGAAAGGAAAGGAGGTCCCGAGAGAGGAAGGGACCCTCCTAAGTTGTTGGCGAATGCAGAGATAAGACCCAGCCAAGCTGGAGAAGCAGAAACGGGGCAGTGGGGAGGGGAACCAGGATTGGACTCAGTCCCTCACTCTCTGACCCCACTTTCACCCCCTCACCCCACAGCTGCCCATCCGCAATGGCTCTGAGGTGCGGGATCCACTGGTCATCTATGAAGGCTCCAACCCCCCAGCCTCACCATTGCAAGGTGACCTCACAATCAGCAGGGCCTGAAAGTTAAGGGGTCTGGATCCTTGGCTGTTGGCCTCCATCTCCCATTCACTCTCTGCCGTGTCTTGCCTCTCTTGCCCCTGGTCTTCTTCGCTGCCCTGTAATTCCTGAATTCTGTGTTCTCAGCCTAATCCAGGCAGGTTCTCCCTGACGCCCTCTGTCTTTCTAGACAACCTGGTTATCGCTCTGCACAGCTACGAGCCCTCTCACGATGGAGATTTGGGCTTCGAGAAGGGTGAACAGCTCCGTATCCTGGAGCGGTGAGTACCCCCTCCTCGCCACCCATCCTTGCCCTACCGGAGCATGGGAGGGAGCAGGGATCCCCCGTACCGCGGTCCCCGACGGGCTTGCAGCGGGCGCTCTTAGGACAAAATGGGAGGCTCCAGGGTGCTGGGCTAGAGGGTGGGGTGGCAGGGTGTAACGGGGGCTCTGAAGGTTTCCAGCCCAATCCAAGGCCAAGGAGACCCCACCGACTGGCTCTATCGCGCAGGAACGGCGAATGGTGGAAGGCACAGTCCCTGACCACCGGCCAGGAAGGTTTCATCCCCTTCAACTTCGTGGCCAAAGCGAACAGCCTGGAGCCCGAACCGTGAGTAGGGACCCCCCATGAGGAAGGGTGGGTGCAAAGGCTGGGTGCTAGGTGGCGAGTGCTTGAGGGCGACGGAGGCGGAACTGACCAGCAACAGACGACGGCCTTCCCTTGTGCCTTGCGCAGCTGGTTCTTCAAGAACCTGAGCCGCAAGGACGCTGAGCGGCAGCTCCTGGCGCCCGGGAACACGCACGGCTCCTTCCTGATCCGGGAGAGCGAGAGCACCGCGGGTGAGCGACTGGGCGGGGCCGTGGGCGGGGCCGCAGCTCCGAGGCCTGATCCCTGAGATCCCGGGGAAGGGGGGCACGGGGACGGGGATTTGCTTGAGTTCACCCACTCTTCATCCAGGATCGTTTTCACTGTCCGTTCGGGACTTCGACCAGAACCAGGGAGAGGTGGTGAAACATTACAAAATCCGTAACCTGGACCAAGGCGGCTTCTACATCTCGCCCCGCATCACTTTTCCTGGCCTGCACGAGCTGGTCCGCCATTACACCAGTGAGCCCTAGCAGGAGCCCCTCAGACGTGCGCGCGGGGCTCCTTCACCTGTGCCCTACCAGCCTGCCTCCCCTAAGTCCCTCTCAGGGGTACCCTCCACCCATCTCAGTATGCTCCTTCATTCCCCGCAGTGGGCGAGGTGCGGTACCCGACAGCCCAGGTCCATTCGGGTGTCCCCACCTCCCCCGCCAGTCCATTTCCCCTGGACGGGGACTTGGCCTGGCGGGGACTCAGTGGGGACACCCGAATCCGCCGTATTCACGGCCCTAATCCTCTCCCTTGTGCTCGCAGATGCTTCGGACGGGCTGTGCACGCGGTTGAGTCGCCCCTGCCAGACCCAGAAGCCCCAGAAACCTTGGTGGGAGGACGAGTGGGAGGTTCCCAGGGAGACGCTGAAGCTGGTGGAGCGGCTGGGGGCTGGCCAGTTCGGGGAAGTGTGGATGGGTGAGTGAGGCCCTCTGCGACTGCGGGAAGGGGGAGAGAAGAGGCGTCCGCTGAGGCCGCGAGAGTCCCGAGACGGCGTCCGGGCGCTACCTGTTTCCGGGTGCTCGCGCTCCCAGTGATTCCCCGATCCCTCCGCGCCCCAGGGTACTACAACGGGCACACTAAGGTGGCAGTCAAGAGCCTGAAGCAGGGAAGCATGTCCCCCGACGCCTTCCTGGCGGAGGCCAACCTCATGAAGCAGCTGCAACACCAGAGACTGGTCCGGCTCTACGCTGTGGTCACCCAGGAGCCCATCTACATCATCACGGAATACATGGAGAACGGTGGGTGCCGCCACTACGATCGGCCGCTAGGGGGCGCTGCGGCGCCGCCGGGCCCCCCCCCCCCCCCCCCCCCCCCCCCCCCCCCCCCCCC